ACATTGGTGACGTGCATAAGGAGGAACTACTGTTGGGTAGACTTTGCGTCCACGAAAAGGCCTTTCAGCATTGTTGTACTGGTTGTAGCTCCTTTGACTTGGTTTATCACTGATGAATAAACATCATAACATAGTAGAAGGATGGTCCAGCTGACCTTGCACAGTGGAATTTGCTAGAGCAAATTACTTGTGCTGTGGTTTCTGCAGTTTCTTACAGGTGTTGCTGCTTTGGCACGCTGTGCTTGGTCCTTTAGGGCTGATATGTCTGCTGCCTACTGAAAGGAAGCTTTTATTTGCTTTTGCTATTTTATTTATCTGAAGGAAGCGTTGCTTTAGGGTGCTCTGAGGTGGAGGCTCTTCCGAGTGTAGAGACAAGAGAAAAGTCTTCAAGATGAAATGAGGTAGTCAACTATAAAACCTGGAGACGGGGCCCAGGCAGCGAGGAGGAGATGTACGAGGAAGGTGGAGCTGAGATGTCAGCAGAATCATCCACCTCCTCTGAGACTGGGCACCCTCCATCTGCATCAGATGGCCAAGGAGAGCAGGGCGATGCTTCATCTCCTGCGGGAAGGAGGGAGGTAGAAGGGTACTGAACACCACAGCACGTGCCGTACTCGCACGAGGAGGAGAAGCACAGAAATGCCCACAAACCAGGAATTCCTCCGTGCCTTCTTTGGCCAAGTGTTTGTATGGGAAGATTTGGTGTCCGACTTCTTTTTGCTCTCGAAACGCTGCAACGTTTGCTGCAACCTTGCAGCTTGTGGCCTTCAGTCAAGGTCAGCTAGCAGGTGTCTACTGAGCTTGCGAGAGGGACAGGAGGGACAAATACATCCTCACAAATAACTGTCGTCTCCAACAACGCGTCTCCCCCGGAACCGGAGGTCTGACGTTCGTCAGCGCCTCTGCTCGAGGGCTTCCCGGTCCTTCCTTGGAGAACGGGGACCTTCCATTGTCCCCAGCACTGGTGACAGCGAGGACAAGACATCGCCACCCTAATGAGACCTGACAAATGGGCAATTGGGCTGCTGCTTAGGGAATTTAATGGTTAATTTCCATAGCGCCGTGTCAGGGCAAAGGGCAGGAAGAAGTAATCCTGCTGCAGAGCGGGGATGGGGATGCCTTTCCGTCTGAAAGGTGCTGGTGAAGCTGGAAAGATTGAGTTAACTAGGATTTCTGTGTCAGCGCCCAAGACCTTTTATAAACAGACTGTATGATCTAAATACCATGTGACTATTTCCCCTAACTGCAATCCGGTATCAAATTCAGAGTGGGCCATGCCATTTTCTATTAGGTTGGTGCATGCACTCTGCTATGCGCGAGAGGCTACTACGCCTGGAAAGGAGCCGAGTTAATTCAGAAGGAAAAAATGTGTGCCCGTACGCTGGAGAACAAGTCTGTTCTGCGAGCAGAGGTTTAGCCCCGTGCTAGCCAATATGTCAGCGATAACCGTTTAAAAAAATATTGTTGTACAACATTTGGCGGTTTTGGCTGAAAGCCATGAACTAAAAGGGGCTTGTGAGCAAAAGAAAAAGCCTTCATGCCCTTGATGAAGCTTCTTAGGGCTTATAGGCTTCATGAAGAGAAGCCATGTTTGCAGAAAAATATCATTTTGGATGATTTTGGGAAAAAAGTGAACTGAAAACAATTTTTTGTCAAACGTCTGCAGTTTTTAAAACAGTGCATCCATATATATGTCACCTTCCTTTAAAAACAAAAAAGTAATTACATTTTATTTTTATGCGTGGCTGTAAAAACAGAGAGAACGAGCGTGCTGAACAGTAATTATTGAATATGTTTGATTTTATTGAAAACAGGTGTTGATATTCCACTCTCTGTGAAATACCAGTATTACCTTAAATATCCACGAATATTTTCTCAATCGGATGCAGTATATTTGTACATGTATTTTCCCCCCTGTGAAAGACAGAACTATGTGTACCCACGTGTGCATACTCAAAATATTTGTGAAATATGGAGCATTCAAGTTTCTGACAGTAGGTACTTCTATGTCCAGAGAAGTATCTATTTTTATACTACCTATGTGTCTATGAAACAACCAGGTAGAACACGCTTGCTGTGAAGAGCAGTGACTGTAGTGGTGGCAGGTGGTTTGTTCAATTAGTACTTTCTACTTCAGCAACTGCCATGGTTCAAAACCCCTGGTCTGCTCAGGATTATTTTGTAACACACAGCTTTTAAAAATTCATTTATTTTATTTTAATTCCTTACCTATAATTAAATCTGTTTCAAGCATATAAAATAGAGGTGGGGAAGTGAATTCTATATATTCATTTGTGGTTCTTGCAACTCATTAGAAGTGGCGTTGGCAATTAAGCTACTTGTAATGACAAGAGGCACGATGTGAGTATTTTTAGCGTGCAGCTGGAGGATTTCTGCCACCCTTTCAGGCAGGACTAACAGCCACTTGCCTTCTGAATCTGACGACTAGGCAAGTATTGACAGTTATGTACAGACATTTGGAGATTGGCTGAATAAGCAATTGGTCCCATAAAAGGGAGCGTATACGATAGAGGGAAAACTGGTGTCCTCAACTGGAAGACTTTGAACAGTACTGTAAGTATAAGTGCTTTTTGTGACTATGCTGAGAAATCCCAACAAATTATTTTCTTATTATACCTGGGAGGAATTCTTGCCATTGTTTTAATCTTGCTACGTTTTAACTTAAAATATTGCTATTTGTCCCTTATGTTCTTGTTTGATAACATATGTTAATCATGACTTGTGGCTGAGAGTTTGCCTTGAGCTATGAAGAGCTCCTGCCTTTGGGACGGGGGTCCTGAGTTTTTTGTACTGCAACGCAGGATTGCTGCTGAGACCCTGTGAGCTGACAGAGTTTCACTGCAGATTGCTGATTTCTTGAAATGAATAATGGGGCTTGTTAAAACTGCCTTGTTTTGTTTGGGATAAAAAAAAAAAAAAATCCAAAAAATCCCTCTCTCCTCCAAACTTTCATTATCTCAATGGTATGAATATAAAGCAATTTCCACACGTGACAACCCAGTTGCCTCTGAGCACCTCTGGTCAAGCAGTGAGCAGAGAGGCTGATGGTGTGTGTGGTGATGGACAGGTCTCCTCTTGGGTAGGAATGGAGAGACTCAGCTCAGGACTCCAAATATATCTTGTTTTCTCGTGCTGAGCATGGCGTGTGATGTGCGTTAGGTATAGATACGTGCCCCGAAAGCAAGCTCTTCCAGAGTGGACCGTGTCTACCTGGTGCCGTTGCTTGTTCAGCTGATGGCTCCCGTTGTCCTCAGCTCAGGACCATCGGGACAGCATTGGCATTTGGCCGGCTCAGCTCCAGGTCAGCGTGTATTTAGCCATGAGGATCTCAAAAATGTGAATAGTCCCGAATCCACGCGTGTACCTGGCTCCCTCGCCGAGATGGGCTCCGGCTGGCTTTGCCGGGGGCTCTTCCTCCAGACCCCACGGAGAGCCACTGGTCCTATTTCTTTTATCTTTCACGTGGCTGGGAGAGGCTTGTTTTATTTCCTTTCTGCTTCTAATCAGGATTTCATTTTCCCCTGGCTGATACGCATCTGTGGAGTAAACCCAATGGAAATTGGCATTTCCCTCTTTGTAAGATTAACGCAACAAAGTTTAATGCACCAAGCTATGTGTTATCTGTTTCTCTATTTTTATGGATTTCACGGCTTTAATAAAAGGGCTGTTTTCAAATAAGAGCCAAGGATAACAACAGACCCCCCGATGGCCACCGCACTGCTAGTCCTGTGTGGGTCTCTGCTGCGAGACAAATATTTGGAGCCAGAGGTGGAAGGTTACATCCCTGCCCCTGGAACATCTTTCCTGAAAAAAACAAAAAATTGATTTATTAAATAATAGCTACCGTGCTTTCAAAGTTGCTTAGGAAATATCTGGGTACTGCAGATCTCTTGGTCAGTCTGGGTGGAAAAAAATGCCAACCCTGTGTGTTCTGGACGGGCGCCAGCAGCTCCTGCCTGGTGCTGCAGCCGTGTCCTCTCGGGCCTTTCCCGTCCTGCTCCGTTTTTGAGGCATGTTTTCATCATTTTTAAGGAATTGTAATAATATGAGCTGCGTATTTAATGATGTATTAGGGGTTGTCTGTTCCTGGAGGGCTCCCCATAGCTTGTGTACAAGGATTGGGATGCTTCTGAAAGCTGCTGGGTTTGGGACGGCTTCACAGGTGGTACAGCAGAGGGTATTTGTTTCTGCTTAAATTAGTTCCCTTCGTTCAGGGACGTGGGAAAAATACGCTACGTTGTTTGTCAACAGCATCACAGAGGGAGTAAGACCCTTTGGAGCACGGATGAGGAAAATGCAATAATCACTTTATGTTAACAGCAGCCAGCTGAAGGTACAGACAGCCTGCAGCAGCTGGAGCTCCTTGCCTTTCCTGAGATAGGTGGAAAGTAGCGTGGACCTTCTGGTTTGCCAAAAAGGTGCATTTTTTGAAGGGTGCGAGCCTATGTTGGAGTGTGCGTGTGGGAGACCCATCGCTGCTCCCCCAGCCGTCCCAATGGGTCTCCAGCTACCCCGTTTCCGTTTCTGGTCTAATTCTGCAATTTTCCAGTATTCTCTAAAAGAAGCAGTTAAATCTGTCGCGGTGCAGCCTCCGATGACTTTATCAACGTCCTACTGAGGTATTTGCAAACCAGTCGCTGACCGATTAAATTGTAAACAGTGACAAACCCGACTGCCCTTCCCCTCGGCTCCTATTTGCAGATCTCTGGCCGGGAGAGGGTTTGCCCGAATCTTTTTCCCAGGCACCGCCAGGGATGTCACTGAAGCCAAGCCAAAGAAACCACACCGCTGCCTGCCCAGACGGGAGGGCAGCTTGCGGGGTCACGGGAGCATCACGGTTTTGGCGAGGTTGGGTTTGCTGGGGGCCGAGGCGACGGCCAGGCTCCTCGGGGAGGGGGTTTCCTCCGCTCACCCTTTGTTCTCTGCTATTACCCAGGTGATTTTTTTCGGCCGCCGCATGAGTACGTCCTTGGCCGGCGATGGCCTCGCAGCCCACGCCGGCGTGGGTGCTGCTGCTCAGCCTGCTGGCCGGCTGCCTGCCCGCCGCGCAGCCCAGGGACTTCACCGCGAAGGACATCGTCTACCTCCACCCTTCCAGTAAGCCACCTTCGCACGGGCTGCAAAGCCAGGGGCGGGGGTAAGGACGAGGGCGAGTGCGTGTTCAGGCAGCAGAAATGTCAGAGTTTGAGCTGAGAGCTGAGCAAAGATTAAATAAACATCCCCGCTACTCATAAAACTAGTTGATGTTACACCAGACCGTCGCTGCCCAAAGGGATTAAAGGAGTGATAGTGTTACAGGCAGTTGCGGAGTGTGTCAGGGGCTTTTTGTTTGCTCTTTTCTGCTCCTCAATAATATTTCTGGCTATGAGACCAAGCCATGCGGTTTGCCTGAGCACATCGATAGCTGTGAGCAAGGGCCAAACGCGACCATTTGCAGCTGTGGCACTAACCGCTCCTGGCTTTATTTCAGTAACTCCTTGAAGCAATGCTATAGCAACGTTATGCATCTTCAAACCTTCCGTGGACTCTCCTTCCACTAGTCTGTTCACTTTGTCAGACACAAACTTATTTAATTCTAGGAGAGATCTGTGCCTGCCACCTGCTCCCAGTAAGAACTCACAGCCTTTCTGAATTTGGCTGAAAAGTTTATGTACTGTACAAGCAAGTTGAAATTCCTGGTTTATGCCGTAACCATGACCTGCTAGAGGTCCAGGGTGAGAAGCGTGAATTTAATTAGGGCTGTCGTGTTGTCCTACCCCAAGCTGTTCCTTGAGGGCAGCACCAGTCCCACCAGAGATGCTCCCAGGTGACTTGCTGGTCCTTACCCAGAGGAGCCTGGGGAAACAAGCAGCAAATGCCTCTTGCTTCATCTCTCGTACCCGAACAGGGTCTGGCCCAGAGCCGGTGGGCAAGGGGAGGAGGCGAAGAGGAGGGAGAGGTGAGATATGTGGCCTGTGGGGCTGCAGAGGTTCAGCTTACTTCACTCATGGAGATAAATGTGACCCATTCACCGTTTGGCTTCTGAGAAGGTGGCAGCATCTTGAAGATGTATTGAATGTGCGACAGAAGCCCTGCCAGGAGACCACTTAAGAAGTCACGCTCTTCATTTGGCAAGATAAATTAGGACAGAGTCTGCTGTTAAAAACTGGAGGTTCAGCAAATTGATTTTCCTTTCCTTTGGGGACATCAGCCTGCCTTCAAAAGGGGTAGCTCGTTTCCTCGGTGGGACAGTTTCCAGAAGTATTTTAATCCATCTGATATTTTGTTATCAGCACTGATAAAGTAGCGGTATTGGATATGAGCTCTGATACCAAGAGAGTAAGTACTCCTTGCTCACATTAACTCCCTTTGAAGTCAGCAGTGGGCACTTTTGCTAGGTAAACACGGCTGAACTGAGTCCTTATTGTATCTGTATGTGCCTTTCCTGCATTGCTATTGCTGGTAGGATTTTTACAAATCAGTACCAACTTGGTGAAGTTGACAGGTATACATGTAGAAAGATATGTCCAAAGAAAACAAATGTTGCTGCGTGCCTCTGAAAAGCTTAGTAGAACCAGATTAATTGGCTCTTTTTAACTGCTTGTTGTCTATTCCTTTCAGCCACGCCGTATCCTCATGGATTTAAGTGTTTCACCTGCGAAAAGGCAGCAGATAATTACGAATGCAACCGATGGGCTCCGGATGTCTATTGTCCAAGAGGTAACCAGCTGCATGCTAGCGTTTAATTTAAACCCACCTTAAAACAACCGCTCGCTGTCCCTGCTGCGGGACAGCACTGAGCCCCCATTATTCCTTGAGTGTACTCGGATGCTGGTGATTGCTGCTCCCACTTGTAAGCCTCCTCAACAAGAAAGATGTGTAAGCGATATGAGTAATCCTTTAAGCTTTTCTGTCTCTTTGCGGTGGATGAAGTTTAGGACTTTCATCTACTCCCCATACTCCTCTAGCTCAGCTGGAAATTAAATCAGGCTGATGTTTATTAAGGGTTGTGTTTCTCTGAGTACGGGAGCGGTTCACGCTTTGTTTGCTTCCCTCCCCTATGGCACAAGCCCGCACCTCAGGGCGGCCGAGGCTGACTCTTTTCGGCTGGCATCGAGATGTTTTCAGTATTTTGGGCTCGTAACCCCCATTGGAGTCTGAAGCTGGGAACGGCTCAGAAAGGGCTTTGGAATACAGGCACCCAAATATCAGACACAGGTATCGGAGAGATCCCCAGACCTCCCCCTCCCTTAGCACTTCTCTTTTTGAGACATTCCCAAGGCGTTGAGATTGTCCCCAGCCCCTGACCAAGCCTGTTCGGTCGGGTCGGACACGGGCCGTGTCCTTACCAGTGTGGGAACCACGTGCGGGCAGAGGGATGCTGTGCTTCCCCCGTGCTTTCTCTGGGCTCGGCAGCCCTGTTCAGCGTCTATCCAGGTCTGTTGTGGGACATTACAAGCGCCCTCAGAAAATATTTATTTTGGAAAGAGAAAGATAGTGACGCGCACTATGGCGATGAACCAGCTGCGTTTGCAGCCTGTGTCAGACAGAGCATGTTATCTGTCCGAGAATTTATTTGCTTTGAGCTGAAATCGGCACAACATCAACAACGATAAAAGAGATCAAGCTGGCTGGCATCAGATGAGACCAATATTCACAGACGCTCCCTGTTTTGACAGGAGTTGGTGGTATTTAAATGGCTACCTGTAGATCACTGTGTAAGGAGAGAGGCGTGACTCCAAGGTTTGCCTTTAGTAACAACCAGCAGAAGTGACTTGACCAAAAAAAATGCTAACCTGGAAAGCAAAGTTAGCACTTAATGGCTGTTTAGGGGAGGGAAAACCCATGCTTTGGTGCATCTGTAACTCATCAGCTGCATTCATCCACACCAGAGCTGCTAGTTACCGTCACCAGCCCTCCTGCCCGCTGGTACAAACACCCACTGCGCGGTCATAAAGTAAGGATGGGGTTTTAGCCATGAGAAATCCGAGTCTATCTTTAACCTTCAGCACAGAGGACTTCTTATCTCCTTAAGCTGGAAGGATCCGATAACGTTTTATGCCAGGCACGGCGCATTAATGCCCAGACTGCCCCAAAACAGTGTGCCTTGGGGCTGGAGCACGGCTCTGCCTGTGGCACGGACCCCCGGCCCCTTGCTGCTGGATTTTGGGTGAGACCAGGCACCCCCCGGTGCAGCCGGTGTGCCGGTGGCTGCCAAGGAGTAGCTGCTGAGTCAGCAGTTACTGTGTTTTGGAGGAGCAGGGAATTGGGAAAAGGGGATGGGAACTAAAGCTTAAAGGCTCTGTCCCTGTTCTGCCGCAGTGGAAGCAAAGCTGATAACGTCATTGCTCCCCACTCCGCAGAAATCAGCCGTTGCTTCGGGATGCTTCATCACCGACGGCTTTTGTTGGCGTGGACATGCATTGGATATAAAGCTAAGAGGCATCAGAAAGCTTTTAACTAAGGCAGCTTTTTATTTTGTTGCTTTAATTTTCAAATGTAATTTTGAGTTCACGTAAGGAAGCCACAGAAATGCAAGCTGAGGTTTGAGGCGTGACTGCAGGCGTCCTCTGGGGGCCGGGGTTATCTCCTCGGGTAATTACCTTATCTCTGGGAGTCAGAGGGGTGCGCTTATGGTGTGGCCTCCCTCGCCGCAATGATCCGAACCCTTGCTGTTTCGCTTGGGTTAAGTGGTGGGAGAAAACAAGAAAACCATCCTGCTGCTGCTGGTTTTTTTTTTTAAGGCAGAATGCTATTTAAGACCAAGCAAACCAAAATATTTTCATTAACTATAATGTAGGACTTGAAGGGAACTGCATTTTGTGTATAACAAAATTAATTATAATGGAGAATACATGAATCCCCATCTTGAACAGAGATTAGAAAAAGCATTTCCTAGAAGGCAGGCCTCCTGCTGTCATTAACCTAGTTTTCTGATATTTATTAGCTTCAGCTCAAGCAGAAACTGTGTTTGTGGTTTAATTTGTATGGAAACACGGCCCTCAAAATACTCCCAGTACTCTATTTTTGGACAGCCTGTGGGCAGGCTGACAACCTGTGAAGGGGATGATGGCCGTGACCACCAAAGTGACGTTCCAGCGCTGTTAGACGCCATGGTTTGGGAAGTGGGCTCTCAAAAGTCAACATGTGACTCTGGGCCCTTTGAAATACCAGATTCAGTGTTTCCCTACGCAGTTTAAAGCAGATGGGTCCAATTTCTCCTACTGGAGACATGTACCAGCCTTGCTGGGTATCAACACGCGGGGCTGGTTTGCTTATGTTTAGCCTGGATGTTGGTCTGCACCATGACTTCTGGTTTCAGTAGCTGGTTTCTTCAATTTGGGCTGCCTTTAAGGGTATAGGAGGGTGTCCGTGAGGTGGACCCCATGGAGAACGTGCGTTTTAGCCGTGGGGTGATGCTGCTGGAGGTCACCATCGCTCCTGGCAGGTCAAGACCAAGGCGGTTTGTCGTCTATGGATGTTTGGAGATACCTCATAGCTGAAGCGCAATGGTGCAATCTTTGCAAGACAGTTCCACCAGAGGAAGGAAAAATGCAAAAGAGGAGGGGGACGGTGGAAATTGACAGCCCTGAAAATCCCCCAAATAATCCTATAGAGTAACAATCTCATTTTCAAATGCTTTTGTAATGAAATGCGTTGCTAGACAGCCTGAATATTCCACCACAATCAGCCTAGCTCTCAAATGCCTTTAAAGACACTCTGGAACTGCAAAATTTAGACAACGTAAATCCATGCTTTTTTGGTACAATACCACCGAGACCCGTCCTTACCCTGTGGCCGTACTGCTGCCTGGCTTGGGTACCACATTACTTAGAAGCATCAATGTTCATGCTGCAGTGTTTTATTTTAATTGCTCTAAACTTCTCTGTTATTTTTGGTAAAATTTTTGTAGTGTTGGGCCCGTGTTCTTCACGGGCTCAGCTTGGAGTTCCTCTTCCATTCCTCTGGCAGGCAGCCTCCTGATCTGCAGAGCAGTCGTTATGGGTTAGATGCGGTGATGTTCCCTACTTCTGCTTTGCTCTGGGCTCTCCTAGTGGTCTCTGGCCCAATCCTTTTCACCCGTCCTCGTTATGCTTAGCCTGCTCTGAGAAGAGAGGCAGAGCAGAATGCTGTGTAAAAGTTAATATTGATTTGAGTGAGTGGATTTTGTTGCTTATTGTGAACTTTGCAGCTGCAGCCCTGCCTTGCAGGAGGTGATAGCCATCAGTGATGGTGTGTGGGGAGAGGCGTGCTTGGTCCCCCTGCGTGGGGAAAATACGTATCTCCAAGATGATTGCACAATCTTTTCTAAAAACACACTTGGAAGAAAGAATGAAACAGCCTTAAAAGAGTTATGGGGTGCTAGGAGCTTTACCTGTCAAGGGTGAGCTCCGCTGCAGAGTCATTGCAGGAGAAATAAAGCTCCAGTGATGCACGCACAGATTTCTTGGGGAATGGCACTTCCAGGCAAGGTCTTGGGAGAAGCTCAAAGCCATCGTGCAGGGTAAAACTGTGAGCTTCACCCTTAGGGCAGGAGAGCCTGGAAAACACATTAAAAACCGCGTGTTGCAGCCCTGGCCGGTTTGAAGGAAGACAGGACACCGAGCGTCTCCAGCCTCTGGTGATAAGTTAAGTCTGTTTGCTGTGGATATCGCACTTGAGTTAAGAGCAGGTCAGAGATATGACAGATGTCGGAGGGGTTTTATTGCCTAACAAATAACGTGTTCAGCCGGCAACCTCGCACGGCTGTTGCCGAATGCCTAAAACATGAGAAGTATGCAGGGCTTTGCCCATCGGAGACGAGGGCTGAACAGGAATGCTCGCTTTAAATTAATTACATTCCTTCCCCCCTACCCCGTGAAAGCAACAATTTTATTAATAATAAGGTTGATTAATAAGAAGGTATAATTTAGAGAAGAAATATATAATGGCATGTTTCCTGTGTTGAAAATCCAGTGTTTTCATCTTGGAGTGCGAGGAAGGGGAACAGCACTCTTCCACTTCCCTCTGCTGACTAAAGCATGAAATAAACCCAAATTCCTTTATGCCTGAGGATAACCACAGCATTTGTCAGTCATCCTGCTTTGAATTTTCTGTGTGTTTTACAAATGTCACTAGAGGACTAGCTTCAAAAAGGAGGAGGAGGAGGAAGAGGATGGTCTCCCCTGGGGACAAGGGAGCTCACAGGAGAAGTGTGCAGAAGATGCGATGGGAATACTGGGGGGACAGTCCACTTCATGGTGCTTTTTCCAAAAAGACTGGGAAACTGTGAAATACATAAATCCTCCCAACTGTTCTACCGGTATTTTGGCACTATTTTATAGATGATAAAACTGAGGGACAGTGAGGGTGTGAAGGATCTTCTCTGGGCTGTGCAGGAGCCGTGGGAGAGAGTGTGAGCAGTGAGGACAGCTTGCACGAGCTGCTAGGATATAGGGAAAGGCATCTCCAATGTGTAACGCTTTAGGTTGTTCTACAGAATTAGTGGTCGTGCATGAAGCTAGGAAAAAATTAAACCTATACAGATGAAAGTTTGCTTCAGACATAAGCAGCTATCATGAATGTTTTCTATTTTTAAAGATAATTTTTATAAAACTAACGGTGCATAAGATTTGGGGTGTTTATCTGAACCTCTCTCTGTAACTTGATTATCCAATGTGTGTGTGTGTATTTCTTTGTCTGTAATATAGAGGCCCACATTAGTATTGGGAACAAATCTCTGCGTTCCAGAGTGCTCTGAAACCTCAGGTTTGTGCCAGAGCTTGGGCTACGGGTGTGTATTTAGTGACATTTCATGTATTTATTGCAATACATAAAAGCCCCCCCCCCCCTTTTTTTTTTAAATCCCAAGGCTTGGAAAAAAATCTGAGTTCTTTCCTATTTCTTCCCATTTGTAGACCATCACAAAACTCAAATTTGACAGTTAAACGCATTTTTCTTCTGTCTTTGTAGGTACAAGATACTGCTTTAGCCAACATATGATGAAAGTTACTGGAGAGAGTGTATCCGTCACCAAACGCTGCGTACCATTAGAGGACTGTCTGTCTACGGGATGCACATATGTAAAGCATGAAGAATACAAGGTATGGGATAAAAATTTCCTTTTTTTTAATATGAAAACTGGGCAGAATCCTTCTGGCCTTCGCCAGAAGTCTGACTGGTTCAGTGGGTAAATCAGCATTGTCAAAAATGAAGTTTCTCTTCTTAATGAGCTCCAGCTCATTTCCATTTGCTCCAGAAACAAAGGAATAACTTCTCCCAGAACAAAAGAATAATCTCTTTAAATAACTCTCCTGCCAGCAGCTCAGGGGAGCAAACCACTCCCTTCCTTCTGGCTGAGGAGTGCTCTGCCTGCAGAACTGCACCATGTTTTGTCCCCTCTGCTCTGCAACTGATGCCCACAAACCGTATCATGGTTTTCTTCCTGAAATGGGGGGGAAGCCCTGAAACCTTGGGAGGAGATGCTTTATATCTGACTCAAACAGTTATTTATTAAAGATTTTTCTGAAGGTCAATAGTTGACCTTTTTGAACTTTACCAACAGGTTAAAATAAAAGAGCTTTCTGAGCTGCCAGGCACACTGCAGCCCCATCCCCGTTTTACACATAATTTTATGCTTTCTCGGCCTCGGGTGCGTTAGTCGTCTTGCTCTAAACCTGCGTACTCTGGCTGCGTACTATAACCGGCACTTGCTAGCCCTGAGAAGGCAGAGCTGCGTGTCCTTATGGGCTGACACAGGAATTGTCTATCACTCCGGTGCCTATCATCTCCAAGTGATAGGAAACAAAAAAAACCCCTAGGTGAATAAATACTGATTTTTTTATTATTATTTTTGATTTCTGGCTTGTGAGCTCTACTTCACTGAAACAACACTGGTTTTCATCAGTTCACTCATTTGGGGTAGGAAAGAAAATAACCTCTTCAAAATGGATGTGTCATCCTGATACCAGCCAATGTACTGTTCCTGTACAGGTGAAATTGTTTTCTGAGTAGATGGAGTTAAAAAAAAATGGAGGGGGGAGGGGGAAAAAAAAAATCAGACTGGCCATCGTACTCCTTTGCAAATATTGTATTATTTTCCCTACATCTTTATTCCGTGGTATCGGTGTTTTTCAAATAACCAAGTTACAACCTGGTTTCTTTCAGATCTGCACCTCCTGCTGCGAAGGAAGCATCTGCAATCTGCCCCTACCGCGGAACACAACCGACGCCGTATTCACAACCCTCTCCCCCCTCAACAAAACACAGCGGCTGTCGCAGCCCGTCCTGCTGACGACGGCGTGTCTCTGGCTGGGGTTGATGTCGCAGCGCTGGGCGACGCTGCCACACGCGGCGGGTCCGGACAGCTGAGCCGGGCGAGAACATCGGCGTGAATGGTCAACCTCTCCGTTCTTTGGAGTTGTCTTTGAAAGACGGGGTTTCCTCCTTATTCTTCGTTGATGACGAACTCGGGAGCCTGGGAGGTAGACATAGTTGAAGGGGGTAAAACCATCACGTGCTTCTCTACTGTTTTCTGAAGAAACTCACGCCAAACGTTCCCAGAATCCATGGCTGAGACTGATGCGTACGCTTTTCTTAATGCCTGTCTTTTCTCCAAGAAGAAACGTTATTTAAAAGTACTATATCCCTGCCGGCTGCTAGTATTGCCACTTACACATATGAAACTTTCTCATTGTAATTTGTTACTGCGCTAACTCTGGTGTCTCATTAACCTGTTTTGAGAACATAGGGTAAATAATATATAGTCGGTATGTCTTTGCAGTGTCCCCACATCTCCTCTCCTGTAGCGAGGCAGCAGTCGCTGGAAGGGATGAGGTCAAGGAAGCAGGAGCAGCTTGGATCAGGTCAGCGTCGCACACAGATGCTTCCTCTGAAATCCTTCTGGATTGAGATGCTGGTGCCTGCTGAGCCAACAGGTTCCCAGCATTTCAGGGCTTTAGGTATTTTCACATTTTGGCACCCAGTCCTACTGTATGAGACAGAGTCAATCCTGGCTAGCTTCTGTTATTTTATTTAATGCACTCCTGCTATGGAGTATGGACTATTACTAGCTCCAGCTGTATTTTGGTGACCTGTTTTGCTCGGAAATCATGTATGCAATATTTATTTTTGTATGTTGAGTAGGATCTAAAGTGTTTAAAAGATTCTTATTACTGATATTGCTAGGCAAAATGGTTGTTTGGCAAGTGGGTAAGCCTGTAATATATAAATTATCATAAATATATATATAATGTTTTGCATCGCTTTTAAAAAAGAATCAACTTTGTTTTGCAAGGTCAGTAATAAAAGCAGGGTGTCATGGACTTGCTTTAAAGTTAAACCAAACTTTTTTATAATTAATTTTTATTATTTTGTTTTAAACCCACTATAGTCATAAATTGTTCTTTAATGAGCTATTTTGGCTACTCGTGCTCCAAGATAACTTGTGCTTTATCAAGTTACAGTATGCTTATGCTCTGGAGTGCTTTTTTTCAGTGAGCTATACAGTGAAGCGCAGATGAAGGAAGCCAATGCTGGAATCCAAACGCTTTGTAAAGGGCTCCTAGAGAGTATCGGCAAGCCCTCATCTACCAGCATCCGTCTCGGATACTGTTAATGGTGAGAAATCTGCAGATCTGAGCTTTGGAGTGAACTCTGCTTGCACTCTGGGGAGTTTTATTGGAGGCAAAGGAGGAGGAGGACCAAGAGCAGCACTTGCTCCCAATTTAGTTTCACATGATTTCTCTGGGGAAGGAAAACAGGCTGGAAGCCTTGGTGTGTTTTGCTGGGTGATGTTTTTAAAAAAAATGTATATATACATCATTGTGAAAACTGAAATTTGAACACTGTTTCTTTCCTATTTTTAACTTTATATATAGAACTAACATTTTTGAGGAAAGGCTGGCTGACCTCACTCACAGACAAACCTTGCATTTTGCTGTCCTTTCAGTTCTTCTGTGACTTGCTCACAGATCACTAGTATTAAGAGGGCAGTTGCAATGTATTATTATTTTATGCAAGTTAGACCTATCGCTGGAGACCCTGAAAAAATTAACCTTATGGTCTTTATAAAGCCCGTCCACCTCCTCTGCAAGCTCACTTAAGCAGAGCTATGCAAGGTACTTACGGGTTGTGGGAGAATGTGGCGGAGGGTGTTACGACTTCTCTGACAGCAATTTAAATATTTATTATTATTATTATCCTGTGAAATGGAAGAGTTAAGTCTGGAAGGACCTTGTGCAGTGGTTCAGCTACTCTCCTGGGGCCGGGGTTGAACAGGTTTGCCAAGCGTTTCGGCAGCACTCGTGTCGGAGCAGGGCTGGATCCAGGACACGTGCTTTGAGAAGACGTGTCGTAATGCCAGCACGATGCAGAAACATGGGAAATCTGGGATTAGACACGAACGTCTTGCTTATCTCTTCAACCAAGGTGGGCTCGAGGCTCAGGCTATGTTGCATGTGGCCAGCAGCAGCACCTCGTGGGCAGCTCACACGCTGGTGGTGGCAGCTCAGCTGGACATTTTAAGGATTTACTTTTTCACTTTGGGTGCTGCTGTTCAACACATGCATTTAGGAGTCAGTAAGATACCTAACCAGCAGCAAGAAGCAGATGTTACCTCCTGACCTGAGCTGGCTGCCTTGGTCGATAGCTCACGGTCAGGTTTCTGGCTTCTCTGTACATCACCTCCCCCTATTTTCCATATATTTTGCAGTTTCATTGCTATTTAACAAGTCTAACCTGTGGTATGGTTAACTCTGAGCTAGATATGAATAACCCACACGGGCTGAGCTGCAGGAATGTCCAGATTTCTTCATAAGCTGTTGGAGATTCAGGACCACTAGAAGTATGGTGCCTGCAGTGTGAGATGACGTGGGCTCCAGTGCCTGCTGGCTCATCCTGTGCACTAACAGATAGGATCCTCATCCTGTGTTTAGGTGGACCTTGGACAGACCAGAGACTTTTTTGGGTACCTGGTAGTGCTCTCTACCTACAAAGACTGGGATGCCACTGATCAAATTCAGTTATCAGCATTGTAGAGGTATTAAACCAAGGCAGTTACTTCTACTCTTCTTGCAGTCAGTGGAGGAAAAAATGGTATTTCAGGGGCTGATTCACTGTAAGCTAAGGTAGATGGTTAAATTGTGTTAATTGTGGATGTGCCTAGAAGAAAAAGTAGCTTGGAAATGAATGCTGCATCCCACCTAGACCATCCAGATGCCAGCTACGTGGTTATGCTGAGACCAGTGCTTTGCAAATACCTGAGCAGGAGCCACTCCTAAGCGCATCGCCAGGTTTGCTGTGACTGTGACATCACTGTAGATGGAGAAAATCCTGGTTCTTGTGCTGTGCTGGTCCTTCTCCCCCACGGTTGTGCCCTTCAAAAGCGACCTGAGCACTGTCCAACTGAGCTGCTACCTCTGGTACAAGCATTATAGACCTTGAGCTGAAAAGAGCAAATTAAGGTGACTGAGAGCAAGTGGGGAACCTGCACAGGATCCTCCCTGCACCAGCAGGTCCATGTGCCCGGGCTGCCCGCTGAGCTGTTGGGGTTTTTTTAAAGCACATAAATGCTAAGCTGCACCATATTTATATATGTGATATTCCTTTAAAATTTCTCATTTTTTAACTATTGTAAATGCTGTACATTTGTATAAATAAATGTTTTAAATATTCAGATGACTTGTGAGGTGTCTGATAGTGATGTACAATTGCTGTCACCAGCCCTGCTCTTCTGTGCAGTGCCATCCCCTGTGCTGGGACACTGCTGTCTGCTCCCTGTCCCCTTTTCCTTTCTCTGATGTCCTATTAGCAAAAAAAAAAAAAAAGCTAAGCTGTATTTAAAGCATTTTGTTTTAACTCCCCCTGTAGCTAATGAATCTTCCCCGTGGTTTCCACCTGTTGAGCTCCCATGGTTATTTGTTACAAATTATTTTATTAAATGCCTAATATAAAACAAGTCTGGGGAGGTTCCTGTTTAGTTTGTGACACCCAGATCTTCCTTCCCCTTGCCTGCTCTGGGAAAGCTTTACGTTTTCCATCACTGTGCCACCCTAATTTAGTCCCAGCATGTTCTGGAGGTTTTCATGCAGTTGCTTCTAATTTCCACTCCTGAAACCAACAACTACTTGAATGTAAACAACTTTGAAACCTTTCATTAGCTGCACAAAAGCTATTTGTGGATAATGTGAAGCTGGAAGAAGCCCACACTGTTTCTGCACAGCCCCAATTCCCCCATCCTTAAGTTAAGTTGAATAAATGCAATTTACAGTAGCACAGTTAACTACAGTATATTGACTTAGAGCTCCTGAACCTCCCCTTAGTCCTAAAATAAGTTTCTCTCTGGCAGTTGCGCATTTGGTACACCTTTGGCTTACAAACATGCCTTGAGGGAAGAGATTTTGTTATCCCATTTCAAGAGATGCCTCTGGAAACACCAGGCCCTGCTGAGGGTCAGGAACAGGATAACCCCCGGGGCACACAGCCTTGCAGCACTTAACTTCTCTAGCTCAAGGTGAATTACTGATTTTCAGCATTGCAGCGCAGCAAGCTGAAGGCAGATGTTGCTTAACAAATGCTTTAATTTCTGCAAAGCAGTTGAATTCAGTGTCTGTAAAAACAATTCATCCTGACTGCGTAGCTCTTTTCCTCCCCTTAAACACCACTAGACACAGCCTTTACCTGCTTTCTTGGGCAAACCATCAAGCAGCCCAGCACAGCTTTCAGCAACCCAGCTCATACAAAACCCACCCAGTACAAAGGCAGCCAAAGCAATGCTGAACCTCCTGATTGCAGCAGCTGTAATAGCTAATATTTTTTTTTTTTGAGACCCAAGAACCTCTTCTCTATTGCCAGCCAAAATCCAGCACAGTACCACAAAAAAAACCAGTTTGAACTAAATGGCTGGGCAAAGCTTTCAAGAGCATGTTTACCCCCTTAAAGAGGCTCAAGCAACCAACAAAGGTTATATCCCAAGTGTCTCACTAATGCCTGGAGGCTCCCATGCATTCCCATTCAAGGCTGGGGAGAGGACTCTGCGTCACGACTTGCTCTTTCCACCAAGAAACCACTAACAAGTTCAACTCTGATTCTGGTAAATGGTATTATCATACCTGTAAGTAGGTGGGGGAAAGGAAATGGAAAATATACTTAAAAGAAGGATGTGTATTACAGAATCAATGGCAAGCATAAGTTAACTCTCATGATCTGAAGGTGCAAACCTTGGCAATGGCAATGCCCAAAGCAGCATCAATTCAGACTTTAAAGACCAAGATGGGAACCAGCCCTCCAAATAAAGTCCTTGTAGACCCCCACAGAATTACAGCCCCTGCTGCATGTCAAAATGGGCTCCCAATTTTTATTACATCTTGGTAATATATGCTTTACAATGCCAATCTCATTAGATCATTTGATTGTTTCTTGTATCAATTTCTTTTTGCTCATCTCTGGGTGGGATTCCCCTTGACATTAATCCCAAAGTCCACTTAGATTCCTCCTTAGCCAACCATCAGCCACCCGACTCCCAGGCTGAACTAATAACTTCATTCCTTTAGCACTGACATTATATAGTCAAAAGCATTTTAAATATATCAATTTCAACTTCTATGTATTTATGGGGTTTAAGGTTTCCTATCCTTTTTTTAAGATTTCATCAGGTTTTAGACATGCAACATTTACACATTTCATCATGTGGAGCTCAACCCTACACATCTTAGGCTAAAAAAAATTGCAGGATATCCTCAACATGGTGGACCCTATCCACAATAAAGGCACACAAACAAATCCAACATAGGGCTGATGATACTGGAAAAACAAAGTGATACCAAGCTATCAAAAAAAAAAACCCAAACCGAACCAAACCCCCTAGAGGTTTTTATGCCAAGAAGCAACCTGCACAAGCCAGCTTTACTGACATTTATAAACATCTCACTACTCACCAATGTAAAATTTAAACAGGTTTTAGTTGTGCTACAGATGTTTCTAACAAGCTCTACCAAAGACAAGCTCAACTTGTCAGTCCACACATGTTAGAAATGGCTAACCCCAACCTCCTACCCAAAAAGCATTGATTTGGGGACAGCTGTAAGGGGCCCTTTCTGTTGCCAGGTGCTGAAAGGAGAATATTTTAAGTAGTTAACTATTTTGAAGGGGTAACTTGCTCAGGTTTTCCCTGTAAAAATGTAATCTTCCTGCTGTGATGCTGTGTGCCATGCAGTGCTGTATCTGGACAGCCAAAGAAAAGAGCTGCAC